CATATTTTCACTGAAGAGAAGGTTCAGAGGGGTTATTGTTGTTTCCGGAATTTTAAAAGGGATGAGCTAATGCAGACCAGGACAAGTGTCATAATCTACTGGTTGGAAACGCCCAACGGATTTTATTTTTTAATGAAAAGGATGAAGCTACATTTCAGTGATTGCAGCTCTCAGCTAATGATAATTTGCATTCTACCTTCTAAATTCCAACAACAGTGAGATGGTGACTGCCTGGTTGTAAAACTCCACCAAAAACAATTTCTGAGGAATGTGTATGAACCATAAATCTGTCCCATCAGCACAGTGTCCAGACATTGAACTGGTGACTCCACTGGTTGGAGAAAAAAAAACAAACATTCAGGTGCAAAATAGATATATTTTGTTTACAAAATAATGACAACAACTTCTACTTACAGAGCACCTTCAATGTAATAAAACATCCTAACATGCTTCACAGGAGCATCATAATATATTGCTTCGCAAAGATATACACAAGGATACATTACAACAGATAACAAAGTTTTGTCAAAAATGTCGTTTTTATGAGCTGTCTTGACGAATGTTAAGTGGGACAGACAGGCAGTGAGGTGTAGGAAGGGTAAATATATCAGAGATTGGCACTTAGATAAGTGAAGGTGTATACACCAATGTTGGTGGCGGATCAGAGACATACAATCGGTCAGAATTAGTGAAGTCTGGATATCTTGGAGAAAATTGCAGAGAACGGGAAAGTCAAGATTCTGGAGCTGTTACAGCCACTACTCACTAGGCATTTCCTCAGAGCGATCCATAAACTAAGATTTGTAATAAATGCATATAATTTAATGTTGAAGTGCTTCAATTGTAAAATAACCAGCAGCAAAGTTTTGTGTCTTAAACATAAAGTTCGTACTGATAACTAAAGGTTAGATTATGACATAGCTATTGACGAATTAGAATTAGAATTAGAATTAGCTTTATTGTCAAATGTACTAACATGACTAGTGAAAAGTTTACAAGTCGCCAGTTCCTGTGCCATCTAAGGTACAAGTTACCTCCATACTGATTCTTAAGTACAAATTCTTAAGGAAAAAAAATTAGAAAATTTCCAGCCATAAATTAGAAAATAGATTGATAAGAGTTTAGAATAACACTTCTCCAACACAGACTGCACTGGGAGTGCTGGGAGTTCAAGTCCACTCTGAGGCCAGGGGTCCTTGCTGGCTTTGACCCCAGAATCGCCAATGCTGCCCGAGGATGGGAGATAAAAAGAAAAATACAGAGAGAGAAAAGAGAGAGAGAGAGAGAAAAGAGAGAAAAGAGAGAGAGGGGGAAAAGAGAGAGAGGGGGAAAAGAGAGTAAAGAGAGAGAGAGAGAGAGATAGAGATATGAAAGGAGTGGGCAGACAAGGGGGTTGTGGATCGTAAGCCAGGACAGAAGAGAAGCTGGGTAAGTGATAATGAGGACTAGAACAGGAGAGATTGGTTAGGCAGTGCTGAAAGCAACCCATGTCCACATCCTGGTCCTGTCATGACATGGGTAAAAAAAATGGAAGAACATAATGGGGTTCTAAAGTTATTGAACAAGATGGCGAGTTCTAGAGGCTGCAGGGTCCCCAAGCAGAAAATGAGGTGCTGTTCTTCCAGCCTGCACTGAACTTCACTGGAACACTGTAACAAGCCAGAGACAGGGAATAGGGTGCTGTGTTGAAGTGGCAAGCAAGTGGAAACTCCAGGCCATTTTTGCGGGTGTAACACAGGTATCCTGCAAGCGGTCACGCAGTCTGTGCTTCAGCGAGAGATCCCAAATATGGAGGAGACCACACTATAAGCAGTGAATGCAGTACATTAGATCGAGTAAAGTGCAGGTAAAGTGTTGTTTCACCTGTGTTTGGGGCCATGGATAGTGAGGAGGGAGGAAGTAAACAGGCAGGTGTTACACCTTCTACGGTTGCAAGGTTAAGAGCCGTGGGGTTGTGGGGATTGCTGTTGGGAATGGAGGAGGAGGAGTGGACCAGGGAGTCCTGAAGGGAACGGTCCCCGTGTAAGGCTGAAAAGAGAGGGGAGGGAAGGGGAATGTGTGTCTGGCAGTGGCATCTCGCTGGAGGTGATGGAAATGGCGGCTATCCTTTGGATGTGAATGCTGGTGGGATGGTAGGTGAGGACAAGGGGGACCCTATCACTGCTGTCAGACGGAAGAGAAGGGATGAGGGCAGAAGTATGGGAATTGGATCAGACAAGGCTAAGGGTCAAATACGGTAACAGGGAATCCTCAGCTGAGGAAAAACGTGGATTTTTGAGAGCCCCTGTGAAAGGCAGCATCCTCAGGACAGACGAGACAAAGGAACTGGAGAATGGGATTGAGTCCTTACAAGAAACAGGATGTGATAATGTATAGTGCAGGTAACTGTGGGAGTCAGTGGGTTTGTAGTGGGTATTGGTGGCCAGCCAATCCTCAGAAATGGAAACAGAGATGTCAGAGAAAGGAAGGGAGGAGTCAGAGATGGACCAGGTGAAGGTGAGATCAGGGTAGAAATTGGAAGCAAACCAGAAAGAAAACAGCACCGACGATGTCATCAATATACCGGCGAAAGACTTGCAAGGAGATACCTGAGGAGGACTGGAACAAGGAATGTTCCATGTACCCCACACAGAGGTAGGCATAACTGGGGCCCAAGTGGGTTCCCATGGTCACACCTTTGTTCTACAGAAAGTGAGAGGAGTTAAAGGAGAAAATTATACTGTAAATTTTTTCCACTTCTCAAGTTCTTGTTGGGGACAATCCCAATTACAGCAAACAATGTCAGCGTGCATTTATATAGCACTTTGAACATAGCAAAACATCCAAATCTACCTTAAAGAGTGTTATCTGACAAAATCCAGCACTGAGCCCCATGAGGAAACATCAGGACATTTGGCCAAAATCTCAGTCGAAAGACATATTTTAATGGGTAAGGTCAGGTGGAGAGATTTTGAGTGGGAATTACAGAGCCTAGGGCTAGGCAGCTGAAGGCAGGGCTGCCAATGGTGAAATCAGCTTCACAGTTCCATCATTGTACCCTCCTAGTTCCTTCTGAATCTTTGTTTTTAATAACATATGTTCTCGTTTGCCTACTCTCTGTAAAACAGGGAGCAGAACCCGGCAAAATATTAATCTAACTCTGGCCTGATTCCAACGATACCTGTGATGATGCAGGGGAAACTTGCTGTGTGGGTCTGTTCCAAGCATCGTGTAATGAGAGAGACTGAAGTGATTTCAGCTCCAGATTGACACATTGAGTAATATTATTGATGTCCATCCTTCCATCCTTGCTCTTCAGGGGCACTCTACCTGCGGAAACACAGATTTTATTCAAACAATTTACAAAGTATTTAACGAGGGATGGCCATTATGCAGACTGTGCTGCAGAATCTGAGGGGGTACATGGAGACACAGCTGAACATCTCTTCAAAAATAAGAGCCTCCAACAGCACGGCCCTGACCCTCCAACAGCGCAGCACTGATCCTCGGCCCTGAACCCCCGACAGCGCAGCACCAATCCTCGGCCCTGAACTCCAACAGCACGGCCCTGAACCCCCGACAGCACAGCGCTGACCCTCGGCCCTGACCACCCGACAGTACAAGGCATTCCAGATTCTGGGGTCTGTGTTGAATTGATAGCTGAGCAACAGCATACAACCAAGTCAGGACTGACACTAAATTCTAGGAATGGAACTTAAAATGTTGCATGTTGAGACTTGAATTCATGCCTGCAACAATTTACAGCTTTTACTATCTACAAATATATCAGCATCCTGACAAATGTTGACTTAGTGGTCAGGTTTCCCTCAGACCACAAGGAACGCGTTGCTCGTGGAGGTGGTAGAGGTGGGCACGATAGCGTCATTTAAGATGTATCTAGACAGATACATGAATGGGTAGGGAGCAGAGGGATACAGATCCTTGGAAAATAGGCAACAGGTTTAGATAGAGGATCTGGATCGGCTTGGAGGGCCAAAGGGCCTGTTCCGGTGCTGTAATTTTCTTTGTTCTTTGCTCTTTGAACACACCAAGCTGCTTCAGGAATACAATTTGTTTCAACACTGTTCCTCTAAAGGATTCTTATAAAGAGCACTGGTGAGAGAGGGTGTCAGTCTGAAACAGTGAGACAGACAGTGTGTAAGTGAGCAAGGGAGAGGGAACAAGATCGTCAGCAAACAAGAAAGACAGAGTATGTAATCGTGCTAGTAAGGGTGAGCAAACGCGTGTCCCCAAGTGAGAGAGTGCAAGAGAGTGCGAGAATGCGCGAGGCCGTGCATA